TATCTAGCGTCGCTACAATACTTCATACACTGTGAAAATTTGGTCAATGTAGACTTACCAGGTTAGAAGTAAGGCTTAATCAGTTGGCTCATCTCTTTTCTTGTATGTTGGGCTTTGAGGTTTTAATCTTCGGGCATGTATTCATCAGACCAAATTGTCGCTTATCCTCTCGGTATTGCTTGAGACCCTTCGTACACAAGGTTACGCAAATCTTCTATACCTACCGTCGCAAGTATCTCATAGCGCACACGCCTTTGAATCGCAAGACTCGAATTTCTATTCGGCCACCCTGGCGCATCCTGGCGCATACGAACCTTACCAACAACGAGCTACCCTGCAGGGAAAGCTACTAGTTGTGAACTAGAATTCTACCAGTTGGCGTTTCAGCCCAACTAGTTCACGTTCTATCCTTTTTCAATGTTAGCGACTGGTATTTTTAACATTGTGATGTCCTACGAGATGTCAATTTTCAGGCTATGCATCACCATCTACTAGTATAAATACTAGTAGCTTCATACCAGTTGATGAGATAGTCTGCCAATTCAAGCCCCGTGAAAAGCATAAGTGTGCCTTTTTGCTCGCGACGCTCCAGCAGTCACAATGGCCGACAGAGCAAAGCACTCGCGTGGTAAGCCTGAGGTCCCAGGTTCAAATCCTGGCGCAGGGAAAATTTTTTTATTTTCTATTTTTTATTTTATTTTTATTTTTTATAAATTTGTTTTTTTGATTACGCTGTTTATTGTAATTCCTAAATTTAATAAAAAAAAACATATTTTTGTTTAATTTCTTTGTTTTTATAGCACAAGCATTTCTTCCTAAATGTTTTTTGCAATGCAATTAGATTTTCAAATTTGTTATCTATTATAAATTGAATAAATTATTTTTACTTACATTTATTTAACTTTAAAAATCTTAACCACCTCCAAGCGGCCTCGAACCTGCGATTTCAGAACCAGAACCAGTACCCTGCAAAAATCGCGACTACTCCATGCATGCGTGTATAGAGTACTCCCTAAGGACCAAGGAGTACTCCAAAATTAACCACAATTCATATAAAAAATATGGTCCAATTAACATTGCGATGTCCTAGGGCAGGACCATATACTCCATCCCTGCATTACATCAGAGTAGCACAAAACTACTCCAACATATTAACAATGGCATTGTTGTTATATTTTTTCGTTTGTACACGCTTTTGTTCTTCACTTCTCAAATGCTTTTTCGAAATTAATAAAAACCAAGACAAAAATTTAAAATTACATGTTGCCTCTGACGGCATTCGAACCCGAACATGCTGGGAGCTAAGAACTAACAGCGAGCATCTCTACACGTTCAGCTACAGCCAGACATGCAAATGTACTTTCAAATGCTCAACTTCAATCACGTTTCGTTAAAACACGAGCAGTGATCGGGTAACAATAAGCTGGTGCAGAGACACGAGTTGGTCCGCTACAGCATGACAGAGAAGCACTTTTGTAAGTACTCCAATATACCACAAATAGACTACATGGTCCCACGATTTTTGCAGGGTAGTCTTCACGTGACGCCACAGCCGACATACGTAAGAAAAGCAATTAATTGCGTTTTATTTTTGGCTATGGCAATTCAAAGGCAGATGTCGCTGATCGCCTAAGATCTCCGAAATTGTCGAACTGGTAGGCACATACTAGTTAATGAACTAGTATTTTTTCTAACTGGTTTGGCTTTTCACTGCAGGGTAGTCTGTCGGGTCGGTGTGGGCTGCTTGTATGGATCAGTCGACACCCAAGTGGTTGAATGGATGTTGCAATGCTGGGTTCTTATACTACTAACGACCATCAGCCTCTCCATTGCAGGAGGCGTATTTGCAAAATTAAAAGGAAAAATAAAAACACATTTCCGCCTTTTTTTTGAGAATTCCATTGAGTTCCAACTACTCAATTTTGGCTACTTTCTTTCGTTTATTTAATATTTCTTACTTTTTTATGGAAGTACTATCTAACAAAACTGTTTAATAATTTTGGCATACTTATAGTGTTATAGCCCATTCCGTTTCTGTATAATAACGTGCAAAACTCGTTGTTTTTTGATAATTTTTTTTTGTTGACGGTGTTACGCAGTTTCTTCCATACAATGTAAATATTTATGTTTGAAATTTTTTTATACATATTGAAAAAATGCTTTTAGACTAAACCCACACCGAAGACGACAAAACGTTTTTTTTTTGTCGACCGCAAAGAAAACATTTTTTTCTATCCCATTTGTGTCGTGTTACGATTCACTTAGTATTTATGGGTTGAATAATAAGAACTTATGTACATGTGCTCTATACGATACCTAAAAATGTTTTGTCGTCTTCGGTGTGGGTTCAGCCTTAGTCTCACAACACATAAGCTCGGAACACTTTGACGACAGCAAGCGAAAAGCAGCATCTGTCAAATTTTAAATACACACGTTCTTACGGACACAATTATTTTGACGACAGCACGACATCTTGGCTGCAGGACTGCAATTGTCGACGTCGCCAAATTAAATCTATTTTTAATTTTGCCGGCGACAATGAGTAGATGTAGTGCTGCAAAATTAAATTGTCGCAAAATTAATCACATATTCTTGATTGTTCATGTTTTTCTTATTTACTTAAATAAAAATACACAATTTGTGAAATAAATATATTAAAATGTCAAACTTTAAAATCAGCTGTTTGCTATGTCGCTGAGGTCTTCAAAATGTTTAAGAAGCTGGCTTCAAGGCGACATTTGTCGACAAAATGATGTCGCTGTCGTTACGTCGTGAAGTTGCAGTCGTCAAAGTGTTCCGAGCTATAAAGTTGGAACTGTGCATCTATATTTTCATACGTTTATCGCGTTTTAGGCTTTCAGTGATTATAAAACACAGTTGGTGAAACCCTGTGGTTATCGCAGCAATTTTTTTTTGTGCAGTGAACGTTGTACTTGCGTACATATGTATGTACATACACACAATGATTCAAAAGTCTTGAATTGCTAATTTTTGAAAGGCTACTTGGCCTACCACCAATCGACATCGCGGTGGAGAGCACTGCAGCGAAATCCGCCACGAGATTGATGGCCTTAGGTGAATTCTCCGCAAGAACCTTCGGGCACAGCTCGATATGCAGGGGGATGGAGGACAAAATAGACCACATACCCCCACGCTTCATCTGGGGAAGAAGGTTTAAAGCTACGGTTAAGGAGGGCGGATGGCGCATGAGCACGCGACCCGCCGGCGTAACGTATAACATCTACACGGATGGATCAAAAATGGCTGATGGAGTGGGCGCCGGAGTCTATTGCGCCGAGCTAGACCTCAGGCAACCCTTCAAGCTTCCAGAGTACTGCAGTATTTTCCAGGCGGAAGTCTTCGCTGTAGGGAAAGCTGCTGAGATAGCTAGCAACGCAGGAAATTATATAAAAAATATCAATATATATGTCGATAGCCAGGCGGCGATTAAGGCCATAATCTCACATCGTATTGCGTCAGAAAATGTCCTTAGAAGCAGGGAAGCAGTAGACAGGGCGGCCGAGAGTAAACGGCTGCATATATACTGGGTTCCAGGCCACAAGGGCATTTTAGGCAACGAAATAGCTGATGAGATTGCCAAAAGTGCCATCCGTCTTGCTAGCGAACCAGTACGGGAAATACAAAAGTCGCTAAAAACGATCTACAATGAAATTTCCGAAAGAGCTGGGTGCCGGATCAGGGGGAGATGGAACGCATTAGCGACATGCAAAACCACCAAGATCATGTGCAATAGCAGCAAAGGAAACACCCATTTCTTGCTTACACGGTCACGTAGGGATTGCAGGACAGTTGTCGGCCTAATGACGGGCCACAACCTACTGGCATCCCACGCAAGCAGAATGGGCATTAGTAACAGTGACGCATGCAGGAAGTGCAGGGAGGAAGGCATGAGTGAGACGTTAGAGCATCTCCTCTGTTTCTGTCCGGCCTTAGCTAGAAATCGTCTTAGTTATCTCGGAGCTTCGCAGTTTAAAGGACTAGAGGAGGTTTCAAAACTGGATATTAAGGCACTCTTGAACTTCGCAAAAAGCGTTGACGTCCTATACGACGACTACTTTAGACCGCAGTAAAACGGACCTCCATCTGGCACTACAAAGGACCAACGGGTCTATGTAAGGCGCAACAGCCGGCCAGTGTAACCTAACCTAACCTAATTTTTGTTAGATATTCACCATGTGCTTCAAGTTAACTTTATTTTTTTTTTATTTTTTATAAAAATATTGTACATGGTTAAACCAATATTATCTAAATCAAAGTTTCAAACTTGATACAAAATTTAGCAAAGTTTCATCAAAATTGCGAATTTTCTAATCTGAATTTTTAGAAAATGTTCGGGTATGCCGCTTTATTATAGCCCATAAAATTTTAGTATAGTATAGTGTAATTTTGAAACGTCTAAAAAATTGCGTTAATTTTTAATTTTTAAGGCGTTTTGCGCTTTTTTCGTATGCAATAGTGAACTTCCATTATGAAAGAAAAAATGGCAAAAGACCGGTGTTAAAAAAAATTATTTAAAAGCAACGGGAATTCTTAGTTGCTTCAAATATGCACTGTGTTATACTAAAAAAATTCCAATTAAACACATATTTAATTCGAAATTTTTATGAAACTGATGAATTACCCCAAATTTTGTATATGTAAAGTTTGAAATTTTAGTTAATATGGATTTGGTTTAAGCACAGACAATAGTTTTATAGAAAAAAAATAAAATAAATTATTTGAAAAACATTATGAGTATTCAAAAAGATGCTCACCACTGGCCACTCTATATTACATACAGTACGAATGCCTAGTTAAATCTAGGATACTATTTTCATTATTATGTTTATGTTAAGTGATGTACATATATAAAATCTATATATATCTGTAGAACTATTTATGCACCATTAACGACTTTTTATATTTTTGATAATTGCCCTTTTGTGAAATTTAATTGTTTTTTTTTTTGAAAGGAATTTAACTGTCGTTGTTTAATTTAATCTCGCTTTTCTTTGATGCCTCATTTTTTAGGCGTACTTGTACATATGCGTGTCCCTAATGACACTCATCGTTATCGGCTGGTATATATTCTACAAACGATGGCAACGTAATAAGGAACGTCAACTGCAGTTGCTAGCACAAATGCGCGACTCTTCGTCTGTGGGCGCTGGAGATATGACTGGGCTGCGTTTCCGTAAACGCGACAAAATGCTTTTCTACGGCCGTCGAATGCTGCGTAAAGTAAAGAACGTATCCGGCCAGGTGTACGGCGGACAAGGACGCAAACGAAAAGCGGTGATGCACTTCGCCAAACGTATCCTGCAGCTACGGCGGGAAAACATCCCAATGCTTCTGAATACTGCAGAGCCTCCAGCTGAGTATCTACAAGAGGCGATAGAAGGCAGCGATCGCGTGCCGCCTGACGCTCTCTATATGCTGCAAAGCATACGTATTTTCGGGCACTTTGAAAAACCGATTTTTCTGAAACTCTGTAAGCATACAGAAGTGTTAACGTTGCAGCCTGGTGATTTTCTCTTCAAGATTACTGACTCCGACGATAGCGTATTCATTGTGCAATCCGGTTTAGTGCATGTTTTCATATCGAACGCTGACGGCAGCACATTGTCGTTGAAGACGGTGAAGAAGGGCGAATCGGTGACATCGCTTTTGAGCTTCATCGATGTGTTGTCGGGTAATCCAAGCTTCTATAAAACCGTCACAGCGAAGGCAATGGAGAAATCTGTTGTTATCCGCCTACCGATGCAGGTAAATATATAGTATGCTGTTTCCATAGTAGTCACGACCATTTTTATTGTATTCATATTCTCACATAGGCTTTCCAAGAGGTATTCAACGAGAATCCCGATATTATGATACGTGTTATCCAAGTGATTATGGTGCGCTTGCAACGCGTACTCTTCACAGCACTGCGTACATATCTCGGTCTAAATTCGGAGTTAGTTCAAAGCCATATGCGCATTAAGAAGAGCGCTGGTGCCACAATTTTGAAGACATCGCCGTTGTTAAGACGCTTCACGCACCCAGACACAATACAGCACTCTTTGTCGGATTTTATGCCGCCACCAGATATGTTGGTTGACTTGGCGCATGACTCGGAACGTCACATGGGCATACAAGCGGCGCTGCCAAATGCGCAGCAAACTGGTAATGGCGCTAATGCTAATGGGGGTGGTGGTGGCGGTGGGGGTGGGCAGCCGACACTTGCGAATTCGCGAGCGAACAGCATTGGTAATTTGGTAACGCGTCGCTATTCTTTGGTACACGCCGAAGCGTTGGCGAATGCCGCCAGTGCTGAATTGGCCAGCCTGCGCGGCTATGCATTGGACAGTTTCTTACGTGAACTCGGCTTGCCGGAAGAGGATCGCACGTTCATAGATCCTTACGTCGAATTGAGCGAAGTGGAGGCGAATATTCCATTGATCAACGAAGGAAATGTGGATGTGAGAAATGAATTGACAGCAATGTTATTTGATTTTACAGATTTTTTAATGTTTTCATTTGACATTTCAAGGATATCTGCATTTGGATAGTTCTCACGGGCGCTTTGAACGTGTATCAAAGTAGCGTGGATGTAACACGCACCGTTAAGACTGAACGTTCGGATGTGTATATTTACACGGTGCACCCAGGTGAAATTGTTGGTGGACTCGCTGTGCTGACGGGCGAGGCAAGCACGTACACAATAAAAACCAAATATATAACCCGACTTGCTTACATACGACGTCCTGGCGTTTATGCGTAAGTTCATGTTATGTAAATTTTCCAACGTATGTATGTAGTACATATATGTTTGTAAATTATGGATTTCTTTGTGTCGTATAGTATAATGCGCGAGCGCCCTCGTATCGTGTTGGATCTCGGCAATTGTGAAGTGCGTCGTCTCTCGCCGCTGGTACGGCAATGCGATTATGCGCTCGATTGGATTTTCCTAGAGTCTGGTCGTGCCGTCTATCGACAGGAGGAGAATAGCGATAGTACTTATATTGTGCTAAGTGGACGCATGCGTTCTGTGATAACGCAATCAAGTGGTAAAAAAGAAATAATAGGCGAGTACGGCAAAGGTGATCTTGTGGGTCTCGTGGAAATGATAACGGAGACATGTCGCACAACCACAGTGATGGCTGTACGCGATTCAGAACTTGCTAAATTACCGGAAGGCCTATTTAATGCTATCAAATTGCGATACCCGATTGTTGTAACAAAACTCATAAGCCTTCTGAGTCATCGTATATTGGGCACGATGCAGACGCGCCATGGGAGCACAGCGGCGCCCTTGGAGGCAAATCCGGTAACACACAAATACTCTACTGTAGCGCTGGTGCCGGTAAGCGATGATGTACCGCTAACAGCATTCACCTACGAGCTATATCACTCATTGTGCGCAATAGGTTAGTAAAGTAAGAAAACGAAATACAAAATTTAATTTACATATCGTTGTGGAAATGTATAAGGGATCGTAACTTTTTTTTCGAAAGGCGATTTTTTGCATTTCTAGTAGCTTATACTAAACCACATCGTCTTTAAACATTTTAGGGCCATAATTCAAAACCCATTTTTTCTATAATTTTTTTTGCGATGTTGCTTTGAACAGGGGTTGAACACAGGTCCTTCGAGTAGTAGAACGCGCCTCTAACCACTCGGCCACCGCGGCCAACACCGAAACTATAGTATACACAATTAATTTGTTAATGACTTTGAACGGCACTACCATTTTACGCCAAAACAGAGCTAATTTTCGTGATCTGCATAACAAAGAACATAGAAAATTATGTCCAATACTCATTCCGCTATAAATTAACATCCCGGATTTACAAGTATACATTTATAATTAGTTTACTTATTTGTTTTAAATATGTGCGAGTATAATTTTTAATATTAACCATTTTGAAGAAGTCGGAATATTGCACACATGCTTTTCAAAATGCTTTCTTCCCTTCTATGTCAGCAGACTCGAAAAATTTCAATTTTTTTCATACTTTTTGTTGTTTCATCCTTTTTTTCTACACCTTCAGGTCCCACTTTACGTCTAACATCCGAAGTGGTTCGCAAACAGCTCGGCATGCACATATTCGAACCCAGCAACGAATATCGTATGACCTCTTGGCTAGCGCAGCAGGAAGATCGCAATACCATCACTCTATATCAGTGTGACTCTTCTCTCAGCGCTTGGACACAACGTTGCATGCGCCAAGCGGACGTCGTACTTATCGTGGGACTTGGTGATCATGCGCCAATCGTTGGTAAATTTGAACGAGAAATCGATCGTTTGGCAATGCGCACACAAAAGGAGCTCGTACTGCTTTATCACGAGTCGATTAATGCGAAACCGAAAAATACACTGCAATGGCTGAATGTCAGGCCCTGGGTCACCAAACATCACCATTTGCAGTGCCCCAAGCGCATGTTCACGCGCAAAAGTCAATATCGCATTGTAAGTGAAACTGCTAGCAACAACAGATTTATTTACATACAAAAAAAAAATGTACAATCAAATTTTTTTTTATATCTCACAGAACGATCTGTACAGCCGTGTATTAATGTCCGAGCCAAATATGCATTCGGATTGTTCGCGCCTGGCACGTTGGCTGACTGGTAACTCAATCGGGTTAGTTTTAGGTGGCGGCGGTGCACGCGGTGCTGCACATATCGGTATGTTAAAGGCTATACAAGAAGCTGGTATACCGGTAGATATGGTGGGAGGTGTTAGCATTGGCGCGCTAATGGGTGCACTCTGGTGTTCAGATCGTAATGTAACAGCCGTTACACAGAAGGCTCGGGAATGGTCAAAGGTGTGTGCTTGCTGCAACAATTAAAAACAATTATAATTAAACTAATTAACTTACTTTTGCTTTGCATTGCATTTTTTTTTTTGCAGAAAATGACAAAATGGTTCCTGCAATTGCTCGATCTCACTTATCCAATTACATCGATGTTCTCTGGACGTGAATTCAACAAAACCATTCGTGATACCTTCGGTGATGTGGCCATTGAGGATTTATGGATTCCGTATTTTACACTAACGACTGATATTACCGCAAGCTGCCATCGCATACACACAAATGGTAAGTTGATTTTGCTTCTACATACGCGCGCTTCCCCTCTTTAACCATCATTTCATGCTAAACACAAATAGAATATAAATATTTATAAAAGTTTTTAGTGGTTTTCGCAAACACAAGTAGGATGTGAGCGCTGGCGTTTCCCATTTCTTTAACATTTTTTTTTTCTTAATTTTAATTATTGTCTTTGTATGCGGTTATTATTTTTCTTTAAAGTTTTCATTGCAAAGTCTTTCTTGCGTTAAAAAAATATATATATTTGATGTAAAATTTTATCCCACCATTTTATTTAAATCAAAACTTAAAGAAGTAAATTAGTTAACTGCATAATATACGCTTATATTTCCTCCTTACACTAAGAGGTGCCGCAAGACCTAAGTGCGACTACTTATGTTTCAAAAGCCTGCGCGACCGCTTTAAGTATGTATAAACCGTGAAAAATTGGCAGAATTCACTTTATATAAGATTTTCATTTTTGACATATTCTGAGATTTTTACATTCCGATATTTTATACGTCATAGTTCTGTTGTATACCTATATCTTGTTATATTAGCATAACGCATTGATAAGCCGTTGAACTTCACGTACAGTGAAAAGGAAAACTTTCCTTCGAGAAATAGTAAAAAAAAAAAATATAAAATGCCGCCATTTTGTATGCAAAATCGTAGTAAAGTAGATTAATATTTATCGATACATGTACATACATAGTTTTGCATGACTTGTAAACAAACTCAGTTTTCATATTAAATTTAAAAAAATAATTTTCAAAATTTTTAAGAATATTTTCTTCTTTGATTTCATTTAATAGAAAAAGTCGTATTAAATTGTACGGTAGCATTTAACAATTAATTGTTAATAACTTTTTTAAACAATTAACAAGATAATTGAAAAATTAATTGATTAGTGCCCAACACTGCTTTGAGGCATGGTGTAATAATAAAAGGTATCGTCAGTAGCGACGTGTTTGTTGTAATTTTGACAAGTTCGGGACGCTTATTTGCAGTGTTGCCGATTCTCCCTTATATACTATTATTTTTAGAAGAATACTACATTTTAGTAACTAGTTTCATCGCGATTTTTGTTTTTAGAAATTAGTGCTTTTATAACATCATTAATAATTAAAATTGCTGGATTTGTCAAATTTTTGTCAACAAAATGTTAGTAAATAAAAGATATCGTGGTTACCAAAGACTTAAACAAAAATCGTATGGAAAAGCATTTTTAATATTAAATAAATTTTGCTACATTGTCATAATATTAAGTCAAATGAACAATTGATGCACTAAATAGAGTGAGTACTTGCTATTTAATCTATTTAAAAAAATCATTACAAGCCTTCTAGGAAATTGTATCATTTTGCGATTTTTTTTATTTATTAGTCTTAATATATGAGCAAGCCTTGTGGAGCTTAACTCAAACACATATTCATACTTGAAACTCCGTAACTATATAGTTGTTTTGAAGTAGTATGCACAAATGGGTAAAATTAGGAAATAGTTAGTACATTTTCTACTACTTTAAAATGCGTTGCCGGCATAGGCGTCCCGAAAAAGTAAGGTTAAGTTACTGACGACACCTTTTATTATTACATTATGGCTTTGAGGAACAGGCTATGAGCTCAACCAGCCACCGACGTAAAATCGTAGACCATATCGGCTGATACAACCTACCTTATGGGATTTTCGTGTTAACGAAAACTTACTACCGCTCGACGGTGACGTTGTCGTTGCTTTCTGCCTCTCTCTATCAGCAGCAATTTGATATGTTGATACGTTGGTGGCTGGTTGAACCATATGTCGTAAGAAGTAACATAATTACACGTCGCTTATTTACTTAAAAAAAAAAAATCACAAAATCGGGAAAAACGGCTCTAAAGTTTTCAATTCACATATCGACTGCTGAGTGGAAGATCGACCTATTTCCGCAGCCAGTTTGAAAACACCCTATCTCAAACAACTTTTCAAAATTTGGTTTAAGAACGCCCTATTTCAGAATTCGTTTCAAAAACGCCCTATCTCAGCAGCCGATTCTAAAACGCCCTCTGTCAGCAGTCGATATACAGAGTTACTCCCATAGTAAAAATGAATACATATTTTGTTCTAGTGAGGCACTAGTAATCAATACAGCTATGAAATTTTTATACAACATAGAAGAAGAGGTAGCGGTACTCTCTGCATACTCAACTAAAAATTTATATTTTTTGGATTATGTCACTATTGAAATGAAATCAGCGATACGTACATATATGTATTCATAATAGGGCGGTCATTAAAATATCAACGTCATGTGGCATCCATTTATTTTGGTTCTACATATAAAATACAACATTTTGAACAAATTTTTAAGGGGTCGCTACCAGGATTTTAAAGAATTAATTTTTTTTTTTTACTCAGCGATTTTAGGAATGTATATGAACATATTTGAATAATATGCCAAATTTATCAGCTTTCAAGTCAAACTTTTGTCGAATTTTTGCGATTTAAAAACAAAAAATCAAACCCTGGTTGGGACCTCTTATTTTTTTAGTTGAAATGTTCGTGAATGTCTTTATTTTGTACGAAGAACAAAATAAATGGGTTCCTCCCTAATACATACATATACGTATGTGTATGTATGTGCGTAAATTAGTGAAAATTGGTCAAGCCTTAGTAAAAAAAAACTCAACTACACTAAATTGTATCTACCGAGTCTGTAACTGGTAAATTTATTTGTCGATAATACTGAATAGCTGTAGCATTTTATGATAACCAAATATAAGGAACTAATTATTTACGTGGATATTTGGAATTTTTGTAACACGATTTTTCGGTAAAAAGAAGCTGTTACCTTCATCACATATACATACATACATACATATTTCGAAAATATTTAATTTAAAAGCGACTTATAATATTTGGTTGACATTAAAAACAAACCACATAATAAAATACATAATCACTTTTTATTGTTTAAAACAAATTCAATTAATGTCTTGATGTGATGTCCCTTAATGGCTGTATGAATTAATTTTGGCGTAAAATTTAAGAAAAAAATATATTATTTTAGCATCGCCTGCACACATACATATATTATCCCAATCCCCACTAAGCATCCATACGTTCGCTCCAATAAACTCGAATTCATCTAAAAAAATTTACGCACACACATTATACCGTTACACTTAAATTAAACAGGATCTCTTTGGCGTTATATACGTTCATCTATGTCGCTCAGCGGCTATATGCCGCCATTGTGCGATCCAAAAGACGGGCATCTCCTGCTGGATGGCGGATATGTTAACAATTTGCCAGGTAAATAGTGAAAAAAAACAACAACTACAAAAATTGGGTGTGCGTGTGTGTTTGTTTCTTGGCATCATATTTATTTTTTATTTGCTCAAAAAGCATATTTTGGTAAGATTCATTTTTTTAAGAAAGAAAGAGAGAAAACAAATGCAGAGTGGAAATTTTCTTATGATGAATTATAGTGTAGTCATCAAGCCACATATATGTATGTACATATGTATGTACTACATTACATATCTCTTTTCGACTCAATGATATTTGAGTATGGTTGTTATTATTCTTGTTGCTTGTTTTTGTTAGTTTCAGGCGTAGCTGAAATCTTGCGCTGTTTTGCGTAAAATAATGTGACTTTACTTATGTATGTAGTTTTCTGAGCTGTTCAGTGTCTTTTGATGGTAGAATTAGAGTGAAGTTTGCTTCTGTCATATTTTAGTTTTTGGTTTTTATTTGTGTGCATGCTTTAGCTGTAGGACTTCAGAGGATTGTAAGTAAGTATAAAGAATATTAATAAAAATGTATTACTTCAACATAATCCCCCCACATCGATTCTATGTCGATCCAGTTCTCAACTTTTCCAACTTTATTTTAACATAATTTGCTTTCTCATGCCAATACAAAACATAATTTTCGTTTTAAAATCGTGGTGTAAAAAACTCAGAATGTGTTTTCGTAAAAAACTTTATCTGTTAACCTTTCTTATATCTGTTAAATCATCTCTAAAAAGCCATGATTGTGAAAAATTACATAAACTACACATACACTAAAGTAATTACAAAGGTCCACAGGTCCTTTCCTTTGCTGGAAGAACTTTTTTTTTTGGGCTATGTATGCAGAATAGCCGTCATAAAAATGAAAGTAAAACGATCCCTCATTGATCAAAGTAAGGTTTGATGGAAACTATATTCTCTGGATTAAATTTTAAAACTATACTTGTTGAAAAATTTCAAAGTCGTTTTTTAGTTATGAAGTTCTTCCAGCAAGCGATCGATATGGCTGCCGCGGTTGATAACAAGTGAAATATAATTATCTATTCATTGAAATTTAAGAATTTTTTGCGTAGTCTAAGAATTTTTCTTTAGAATTGTTAAATTGGCTCTGGTTTTCAAGATATTTGGGATTAAAAGTGTCAAAAAAAGGCATTTTAGTTATTTTTGAACTTCTACGAGTTGAAATGAATGTTAATAAATGCTTAAATTAAAATTCCTTCCTACGACAACCAGGTCTACGTAACCAAAGAAGAATTCAGATTTATATTTGGCCAAGGACTGTCACTCTCCAAAAACTCTTGCTGAATTTGTATAATGTTACAACAACAACAAAACTTATGTATGTATTTCCCGTTTATCATAAGAAAGCAAACATTACGAAAAAAAACAAGTTTTTTTAATTAAAAAAATATGGCGAATGCAATCTGAAATATACGGTACTGTTCATTCAAATTCAGAAAATGTTCACCAAAATTAAAAAAAAAATAAAAACCATTTTTTTTTTATAAACATTTTTTAATTCCATTAGTATGAGGGTACAATTTTTTCTTAAGAGCTAAAAGTCCAATATTTTAGCTCTCATTTCAAAAGATCATTTCGAATTCAAAACATTATATTTCACAGCTGGTAAAAATCCGTGTTTTGCCATCTCTTAAATCCCAAATGTCAAAAACTAGAGCCAATTGAAGAATTTGAATTTCAGTTTCTGATTCCACGGAGTTCAGCGGAGAAACTCTATAAGAACAAGTGGTCACCGCCTGATAGAATTTTGTTGGGCTGTGTAATTCTAATTATTATAAACTTCATTAGAGCATACAAATTTAACTAATCTCGGGATTAAACGACAAATATGCTATGTTTTCATTACCAATTACCTCACATTTTTAAATGAAAGGTGCTTTCACGCGCGTTTCGTAGTTTTGACAACTTGGTATAATTTTTATTGGGTATACAAAATAAATGGAGAAAAACTATCCAGTATCGGGTTACCAAGTACCAGACTGGGTTGACGATCTCTAAAATATTTTAATTTTAACTAACATACATATATGCGTATGCATACATACTCTTGAAAATAGTTTTTCACATTTCACACACCATTTCACATGACTCCTAACGTTCAAAAAACAGCGCTGCGTACCATAACTACGTGTTTTGCTATCAACAAATGTTTATTGATATAATCCTTTTTTCTTTATACTCTTTTTCATATGTTGCATTCAAAATTTTTGTGTTGCACAAATCAATAAATGAAAATACTCGTGTAACAAAAAAAAAAAATAACAATGCAAAAATCACGTGAATATCGTGCAACGTTTGCCGTCCGTACGGTCCCAATTTTATTTTCACTTTCGCCACCACACCGGTCAACCTCAAACACCTTCGAAGGATGTCTATGGCGCTATGCGCGTGCGAGCATGTCCATCGCGGGCGTTTTTCCACCATTCTGCGATTATAGAGACGGTCATTTACTGCTCGATGGTTGTTACACCAATAATGTGCCAGGTAATAAGCAACAAAAATCACAACATTCATAATTTAACATCTACTCTACCAACTCGTGCTATTCTCTCGAACTTGTAGAACTACCCAAAAAGCCAATAATCTACTTAACCATATGTTAAATAGCATAAAAAGCGTTTGTGTGTACGTGTGTGTATGATACAGTCTGACACCCACACTAATTGCACTTTGTACAATGCAGTTGTTTGATTGATTCATTTTTTCTTTTGCATGACTTAAGTTATTTTTTAGTTTGGTTATTTATGGATTTGAATGGGGTTTTTTTCTTTGGTTTAAACTGCAAATCTAATTGTGTAATTGTAGTACATGCAGCTAGGTAATTACCCTGCACTTTCTCTTTTAGTCCTCCTTGCTGGTATTGGCTATTTGAATAAAAACAGCGTTAAAAAGTGAGATAATAACTACATATATTTAGTATTCAAAATAAAATTTCCCCTCTGCATATTTTTTTTCGGGAAAAAATCGTTTGTGTTATAGAAAATATTTAATTGGATGAATGAAATAGATTTGTGTAGTTATGTTGTTTACACAATGCCATAACATTTCTATGAGATCTTTTAATCACATTTCGTGTATTTTATAGCCGACGTAATGCATAATTTGGGCGCCGCACATATTATTGCCATCGATGTGGGCTCCCAAGACGATATGGATTTGACGAACTATGGCGATGATTTATCTGGTTGGTGGTTGCTGTATAAGAAATGGAACCCCTTCACAACACCGGTGAAGGTGCCTGATCTGCCCGATATACAGTCTCGTTTAGCGTATGTTTCGTGTGTGCGCCAACTCGAGGTGAGTGCAGTCCAAATTTCGGCATTTTTTTTTTTTTAATTTTGGGGATCCACAAGATGTTGGTAGCGTCGTAATGTCTTTAGGCTGGTTTTCACTATGTCATATTTTGACACAACCATATCTACTTTTCCTATGCGGGCGTGGGGCAAAGGGGCATTTAAATAATTTTGCGCTTCTTTTAGCCACATAAAAAGAAAATTCTTTTAACATAAACATAGAGCCACTGCAGACCATAAGTACGGAGTTTCTACGAACCTCGACTCTAGCGCCATCTATCGGCAGAATTTTTGTTTGAAAAAGTATTTTTCGATTTCGATGAACAAAATCAGACCATTAATACGAGCTTTCAAAATAACTCGACCCAGCGCCACCTAGCGGGTTTATTTTTCTTATTGCATAGCAAATAATAAATTAACATAAATCGAACTATAAATGTGAGTTTTCTAGCTTGGTTTAAATCCGATCATTGGATCATGAATAGATTAACGACAATCTTAAATTTTTATATGAGAATTGAAGTCCATTTTCGTTTATTGCTTAAAAATTACTTGTTAAGTATATCGACTCCAGCGCAACCTAGCGATTCAAAGGAATAAGTATACCACTAAATTATTTTTCATAAATGCATCATTTTAGAAAAAGAATTATTAAAATTGGTTCAGTATTTTTTTAAGCCAAAGCGTTACAAACATTCCCCATGTAATCAATTTTATTTAATTGCCCATTTATGCCATTTTAGGAAGTGAAAAATTCCGAATACTGCGAATATATTCGCCCGCCCATTGACAAGTACAAAACGCTCGCCTTTGGCAGCTTCGATGAAATACGTGATGTTGGTTACGTTTTTGGTAAAAACCACTTCGATGCCATGGCCAAAGCCGGACGCTTGGGACGCTTTAATCAGTGGTTTAACAAGGAGCCTTCGAAGAAAGAGAATCCTGGCACCCTAAGCGATTATACGTTCATCGATTTGGCACATATCGTTTGCAAATTACCTGAAACCTATATAAGCAATGAACAATTGCACCAAGGTTATCTCTTTAGCGAAGACGAGGACTACGACGGTTACATATCGGAGCCGTCGACGTACAAGCGGGTGAATACAAAGATAATTAATTTTGTCAAAAATCCAAAATTTACAATTGCAATTCCTGCAGGTCAAAATAAAGCGCACAGGCACCTCTTTGTCGCTCTCCGAAAACGAGATGGATTCCGACATCGAAGTTGATCTGTCTTTGGCCATACGACAACATCATGCACATCGTTCGCGTAGTACACCGCATACCCCTGCCTCTGAATCGAATACAGGCGGCGATCAAGTTGATAACAATGGGCGTGCCCACCACCTAGGCGGTGGCAGCATTGTGCGTTTTGATGGTAGTGTTGTTTTCAAAGGCAATGGCGGTGGCGGTGGTGGCGGTTCGCAAATTAGTATAAGGAGTAGTGGAAGTAGTACTGATTTCGTAACACCTTATGATGCGCTTAACATCGATGCAGTAGTGGATGAGTTACCTTTAGATCCGATAGTTGCAAAAAAGGAAGATGAGGTAAAAAATCGACGGAAAGAGGTTAATGTAACGACGACAACGCCGTTGAAAAGCGCTCAAATCTTAGTTAAAGAAGATGAACTGCGTACGCCTACGCCGAGTACTTCCATTGCCAGTACGGTTGCCTCCATGAAAAGCACTTACAGTTCAAATGCCGAGTCTGCGACCACCCTGCAAAGCGCTGATTTAAATGAGGCGGCAACTCAGCCACCAACTACATTAGAAAACACTTCAGAAGCGACGTAATGAACGATTGCGTGAATTTAGTTAAGGACTTAATTATTTAAGTAATAGAGTGTGTATGTACCATGTGACTGAGTGCAAGATATCTGTAATCGAGAGAGAGAGAGAGAGGAAGTGACAAACAAGTACGAGTATGCTTCGAGCGAGTTTGCAATCAACTTCCTTAGCCATATATTTACTAAATACAAAGCAGTTGCTACAAATTTCAAAATGTCTGAATTAATTATAAATAATTATTGCGTTAAGCTCGACGACTTATGATCTTGTATTGTGTTTGTAATAATCTTGCAACAAAGGAGACAAAAATAAATAAGTAAAGAGCAGTTTTTTGTAAGGGGAATTAAAATTTAACAAATCGCACATATACACTTTAAAAGCGAGTAAGGATAACTTTTCAACAATTAAATAGGTTAATTTCAAGTTTTGAATTCATAACATACGCACACATGGGATAATTATTTAGTATTTCTTGCGAATTAAGGTAAATTTGAAATCCGAGTCATAATTTTGAATTATTGTAATCAAAAGCTTATAGCTCAGTAGAAGTAATGATATATGCCATATAAACATACATATACTTATATACATACATTATCATGGCTATACCGATTGTTACCGCACATTTTGTAAGCGAAAAAATTAAACATTTTTTAACAAGAACTTTATGGCCCTATTATATATGGCGACTGATAGCCGATAGGCAACCATATACTAAAATTCGCATTACGTATGGCTACTGACTACTGAGTCTAGTAGCGGAATATTCTATTTCCCGCTTATTTGGTTTGGTTATTTGTTTACACTTGTTAAACACATTGGATTCAAGTTTTCAATTATGTACTTCGAAATGTTCATGTCAAAAAAGTAAATTCGGCTTTTGTCTGCGCGTTTTCTGTATACTGAGATTAATCGCTATACATAAAACAACGTACGATATATGTCGCCATACATAATAGGACCATTAGTTACCGGTCACAAAATGTTTGTTACCAGGCCAGTGTAGCCCGTTTCTTTAACTCTTCTCTACCGATTATTTCTCTAGTGATAGATAATATACGTCATTCTCTACTACTCATTAGCAGTAGAGAACAGGGCGGCGAATTCATATCACAATTCGCCTTGATAGAGAATTGTTACAGAAACGAGCTACAGGTCTTACTATGTATATTACGAGGGTTGCCTTTTATATTCTGCGCCTAATACCGAAAACAGTAAAATAACACTGATGCCCAAAAATTACCTTAATAAAAGTTAAATGAAATTGAAAGGGTTATTTTGTATCTACAGCTAACCTGTAACTAATCCACATTTTTAAAATAAATCAGTCACCCTTAATTTTTTTGCAACAGCATTTAAGTCAAACTTAATGAAATACGCCAGAAACTGTATTTAATGAAGAAAAAGAAATAATCTTTATTTAGGATTTTCGGGAATATTTAGCATCAGGTACATCTCTTTTTAGTGTACAACAGTAGTCAGCTAACAAATCTGGCCTCCATTATCCCTGGTACCATTTTTCTATGTTAAGATATATCCCGATGAACCGCTCGCCGTGTTCGGCAAATTTTCAGGAGAAAATTTTAATATGAGTGTATGAAGTTTATCTTGAGCGACATATTGCATCCCATATTATTGTAGGCTGTTAAAAGGTTGCTGACCAACTCTTCAAAGTTTTCGGCTTTGTGGTTTCCAATAAAACTACGAACACCATTTCAAAAACATGTCCATGCGGATTTTTCGATCGGATTAAGTTTTTTTTTTAAATAGTTCATCAGCCAATAGGTCTCTTAATTTGTGGCCCTACTGTTTTTCAAAATATTCTCCTTGGAAGTCAATACCCATCTGCATTCGCTTGAATCAATTTTTAAACTTTCAAATTATGCGGTATCCAACGAGAGCAAATCTTTATGGACAAATGTTCATGCAATGTAGAATGTATGCTGGTCTCGGTAATGCCCAAGGATGTCTCTATCTCGCGATATGTCACATGACGATCTTGCGTTATCAATTGACGCACAACATCGATTGTTTGTGGCACAACAACAGTTTTTGAACGACCATCACGAAATTCATGCTGCAAGGATCGACGGCCATGTTGGCGCTCGTACCAGCATTTCACAGTGGCTAAGTGTGCAAAAGTCGAAGTAAGTTAATCAATGCACTCCTGTCTCGATAATCCACGTCGAAAATCGTAATAAATCATCACAAGAAAATTTTCACGAGAAGAACAATCTCACTGGAAAAAAATAAAATAAAGCTCGTAAAAGAGAACGTTATATGTAAGTTTATGCTAAAAAATACCAAACTTTTCGATAAAAAAATTTCGAATTACAGCTCATCACAAGTAGTGTTGCAAAGGCGCAAAATATAAAAAGCAACCCTCGTACACCTTTTTGCCTATATTTAGTAATCTACATATCGAGTGCTTATATTCAACAACCTATATCTTCATTTTTCACAAAAATGCGATTCTGATATAAAAATCCACCTAACACTTAACTGTCATTGGTGATATTAATGCTGACCTTGTATAACGCTTGACAGAAGAATTTACAATTACCTTGCAAAGTCGGAATCAACATCAGTGATGACAGGCAAATCCCAGATGGGTTCTAACATCACAAAGTAGTTTCTGTAAAAATTGCACATAGAGGGTATTGAATATAAGCCCTCGATATGCTATATACATATCGCACATTTGCTGCAAGGGTGTCATAACCTAAAATCGAGTTAAAAATATGCAGAAATGAACGCTACCTGTTCTATGTTGTGTAAAAATTTGCATTGCTGTAACGAATACTAGTAACTCACTAGAACGAAATATGTAAGTATTCATTTTTACTATGTGAGTATACATATGTATATAAATTCAAAACTTTAAATGCCGTTATTCTCGAATTTTTGGAAAATGACACTCTTTCAGTAAACGATATGTACCGTTACCTTAATTTAGAAAGGCCCTAACTCATTTTACTCTCTGTACAAAAGTGAGTAAATTATTCAACAGACTTAATCGAACTTTAAATCAACTACTACACCAAAAAATTAGTTGCTGTTTAATAAAAGCCAATATAACCAAAAAAATTTCTACTGAAGATCTTTAGTTTATATAAAAATTGTATAAATACTCTGTAAAAAAGCGAAAAAATGTCAGACAAAGCCTTTCTATTTAGGGTAACTCTAATGTATTGAACATAAAAGCAAATGATTATTTTTTAATGAGTTGATACTCAATTCAAAAATGAGGCTTGAAATAATGTAGATATAAAAATAAGACTAATAAATGAGTACATTTTGCATTGCTGCACCCATCGTTGGTATTCATTTTCATCACTTACCTACTTCTGAAGTCGAAAATGAAGAAAGAACTCATATTAGAAATAAACGCCCATTTAGATTTTATGATATGAGTTTAAATCTTTGTATTTTGTAATATTAGACTACTATTTGTAACTGCTTTGATGTCAATACAACATATTGATGTCTGCACAATTCAAAGAATAGAGTTTGTTTATTTGGAAAACTTATCAAATCTTTGTACTTTATATGTAATAATGAATTTTGCCAAAAATAAATAAAATAAAAACGCAGAATGCGCTGTAAGAGGTTGTTTTGTTTTATTTTATTTAAGAGTTCCTAAATCTGTTCTAATGCAGGCCAACCCAATATCTACACACGTCAAAAATTTCGGATGCACACAGGATCGATCCAAATTAAACTACGTTGGTATAAAGCTAACTCCAATTTAAAATTTTTGCTCATCATATTATTTTAATTGAACGTTTATCTTCGCAAAATGCATATGTATTAGATGGCATGCGTTCATATTAGATTCGGTCGTAAGAATTTTCCAAATGTCTTAGTTAATGTCCATGTTATAGAGCTTATTTTTACATTATTATAATGTCCTGAAATTGTATAAAGGTAAACGTAGTTCTTCCAGTAAAACTCCAAACACAATCGACGTCTTGAGTTATTGCAACTTTAAGTGTTTAAAAAAGAAGAGCCTACTGAACTGCAAGGACATTCTATTGGTTCTCTTTCTTCTGTGTTTTCAAGGCCACTGCATTGCCAATCACCTGCAAATATTCGATGTCTGGAAAAAATGGAGAGATGCGTTTCATGTCATTTCTTTTTGTTGCGATCCGTTCTCGTACGGTTTTCGATGTGAATCAACCCGATCGACGCACGCAGCAGTTTTTACCGATCAATCCGTATTTTATGCCAGCTGGCAGACCAGAAATTTCGAAATACATGTTGATTGTTGGCCTGGCAGAACTTAACCCCCGAATAGAACAGCCATCTGGAAATCGTTCCTTAATAACAGCCACGGTTTTTGGTCCATGGGGTTTGTGTTTTCTGCTTTCCGCATGCGCCAAGGGAGGTTGCATCATCTGATTGTCGCGCCCATCAACAGTTACGGGACGGTTGAAGAGCAACTTACAGAAAGATTTACCCGGACGCAGCATCAGTCTTCCTGCTTCGCTTTTTGTGTCCGCGGTAGTGTCTATGTTGCACAAGCAGTCGACGCTGATTCCTCCTGCGGCCTTAAAGGCACAATTAACGCATTTCCGTAGACGCTTTCTTCGATATTTCGGTTTATTAAATGCCCTTTGGGCGATTACCAAATTTGGTGGTACTTAGCCAGAGCGGCAGCCATAGCTTAGTTGTTGGCTACAGCCGGTGCATATTCCACCGTTCATGCTTTGGCTGATTTTGATTTCGTAATGACCTGCCACATGGATGATTTTGCACATGATAAAAACAAATATTTGCATATAAATACTTCTGTTTATTTGTATAAAAAGTCATGTGAAAAATAATAGGGACAAGACATTTTGACCAGGTTTGGCTATTTTTAACCGACTTCACAAAAGGGTTAAGGTTACCAATCCGTTGGAATATTTTTTTTATTTTTTTTTAAGGATGTTACCGCATAACTTTAACTTAAAGGAAAGGTGTTACTTCAAAGGTGGTCCCATACTAATTTGGTTTAACTCCGATCATTGGATATATGAGAGTTGGAGTCGGTTTTTTTTTTTGCTTAAAAATTGTTGATATTTTTTTTTACAATGGCGTTATTATTTTCTTCCATACAAAAAACAGTTGTCGAACATACTTTGTATGGAGGAAAATGCGCGTAAAGTTTTGTTTAATTTTTCTACAAAGTTTGAAATTTAGACTTATATAGTTTTTGTTAGATAATGAGCTGCATTTTTACAAAAGATAATAATAAACATTAAACAAATAAAAGAAAAATAGTCAAAACTGGTCAAAGTTGTATGTATGTTTGGGCATTGTACCATCATAAAAAAGAGATATTCGATTTGGTGGGGAACTCACCATTTTAGGGCCTGTGCGAATTGATAAAAAAGTGCTCCGGATTGTGAAAATTCGACAGCAAGAATGACACCTACTTGACGGTTTTGAAATGTTTTTTGTTCTCACGTTTTTTGCAAAGGCGTCTAATAAATGCATGGCTTGCAGAATTAAAGGCAGTAAATCCGAATATTTTTTTTATACAATTGCTGCATTTTAATTGCTCAACTTCTTTTGCATGACGAAATCTAGAATGCTAAAAAATAGTCTGTCTAATGCAACAACGAACAAATATATAATTCTAGAATTTTGTTTATTTTCGGTGGGGTTTTCTTGGTGAATTTGCTTGCTCACAACACCATTGGTTCAATCCTTATAAGACTCAATAAGCAGCGTTTGTGTTCCAAGCGCTTCGTTTCTGAAATGATATTGAAAAAAGTAAGTGCGCCTGGGCCACACTGGAGAAGTGAAACTTACGTTGCATCTCGTTTGTCACATAACCAATATACATATGTACATACATACATATACGTCTGCCTTTGCTTAAGGTTCCCAGTAATTCAGGAGTTAAAAGCCCTTCCGAAAGGCCTTCCTGAGAGTCAAAAGGCCTTCCACTCTACATTCCTTTCTCCTTTTTTTTTGTATAGAAAGGCACAAATTGAAGGGCTTCTTCTTTCGCTACCCATAGTAGGCCTTCCAGAAGGGCTTTTATAGGACGTAGTTCAGAAGGTATTTTGGAGAAGTTCTTTTAAAGTTGCTTCTTTAATTAAAAAAAAAATCATACATTTTTTAAGTATTTGCTTAAGGTTTATATCAAATATGTGTTATTGCAAACTTAAAATGTTTATCGAAATTCATTGGTAATACTAAATAATATAAATTTATGCATTCGCGTAAATTGTAAATGGATAAGCCCTTCTAAAAGGCATGCAAGAAGCACTTTTTTCAGCTCTTCTTGGGTAGGCCTCTTAGAATGGCTTCACTTAAGGTCTACTTAAATTATCTTCTGGGTTATATTTTTTGTCTTTTTTCTATCTAAATCCCTACCTCTTTCCTTATCCTGTTCGTTCTAATTACATTTATATTACTCTGTTTTCCTTTATCTCTATTTTTATCTTTATCGATAACAAATACGATAGTTACATCCATAAAAATATCGATAACAAAACCGATAAAAATATTGATACCAAATCCGATAGAAAAATCGATATCAATATCGATAGAAAATCGATAAAAATATCAACCAAAATTTATAAAAATTTCGATAACAAAACCGATAAAAATATCGATTATTATATCGATGAATTCCGAGAAGCCCGAAAATCTCTAAAACCCCGAAATAGTTCCCAGTTTGAGTATCTGTGTTTCTATCTACATCCTTTTCTCTATAATTAACTTTATTTTATTCTTTTTTTTTTATTTTACCCCCATCCTCATCTTTTTATTTATATTTATATTTATCTTTGTTTTTATTTTTATGTTTATCATTTTCTTCATCTATATCCATACATATTCTACTGAACATTTGCGCTTACATACATAAGTAAAGTGTTTAAATTTACTTGATCTTCATTTTTGCCTTTTTCTTTACGCATCTTTGTTTATGTTTTTATTTTTACTTTTACCTTTATCCTTCTCTTTGGCCCCTATTATGAGTTGCATTCGATCTTCGAATGTGGTCGAAAGTGCTGATCGAATGAATTTTGATTTGGTATTATGACGCTATTGTAAATTTCACTCGCTTAGGTTATTCACAATATGTAGTATATTTTTCACCGCTGAGAAGCTTTGTTTACAAATCGAGCAAACTAAATAGTGTACTTATACATATTTATTTAAATTTGTGCAAATTAAATTGAAGTAAAAAAGAAAGCGAGTTTATAAAAACTTGTTAAAAATTAGTACAACGGAGTTTTGTTTCAACGATTCGTCAGAGAATGAGAGCTTAGTAAACTGGCCAGCAGTAGAAAATGTTTAAGGGAGTTTAAATGTAGTCTTTCGAATATATTTTTACATAAAATATATTTAAAAAAATTTTCTACAGATTTATTAAAAACTTCCGACTGCCTAAAGAGGCGTTTGTGAGCCAAATCTATTTAAAATGTTTTAAAACTATCAAGAGCTCTATGATTTTGTTCTCAGAGATCGTGGCAACTGAGTATTGGGATTCACTTTCACAAGTAAAACCAGCCTTTCGAGCTTGTGTTTAGTATTCAGGACGTTAGAACTGCATGAAATAATGAAATGAATAAAAATTTTTTAAAATTAGTGTCTAGCCCCCAAAAAGTAAGAAAACAAATGCAAAATCAAGCACTTTTCACAATTTTCTAACACTTCGCTACACCATCGAAAGCAAAATTCTGTTCGACAGAAAATTCGATAGTCAACGAAAAGTTCGACACGGTTGCATAGCTCATAATACGAATTTCACTTTCGATCTTCGATAACCATATAAAAAATTTTCAGAATTTTTTTTTTATATGAAAAAAATGCGAAGGACGGTCAACAAAAAAATTCTCAAAAATCAACGTGGATTTTTAGATATTTGAAATTCGCACATTATTATATTAAAATTGAATGGGCTATAACGCTGCATACCTGAATTCTTTTTAGAAATTCGTATTAAAAAGTTCGCGATTTTGCTGAAACTTTTCTTCTGCTGAACATTTTTCTTAATTTTCGTACACTGTTGCTAAAATATAGGCCATATTTTAATACAAAATTAACAACAAGATTTTAGCATGTAAAACATTGCGAATATTAACAAAAAAAAGAGCCGTAAACTCAATTCGCGAGTAACAGTATGTATGTATGCATATAAAATGGTAGCCGTTTTCGCATTCCGATTGTAAG